ATTTTTCACTGAGCAGATGTTTGATGAGATCTATTTCCTTCTGAAGACAGGTCATGAGGGGAGGAGTCAGATATCACCATCTATTCAGTGTCCCTGGTTAGAAAATGCCACAGCTAAGTCTCGATTCTGCCCCCTGGCAACAGTGGGAGGAAGGTGCCGTGTTTGTAGTTAGAGGAGGTGGGTTCAAATCCTGTCTCCGCAACTGACTATGTGTGGCCTTGGGCAATCGCTCAGCCTTCCTGGGCCTCAGTTTCCTCATCTGAAGTCCCTTCTGGTTCAAAATCTGTGCTCCTGTGATTCCTGCTTTCATCTCCTGGATCATCCAGGCACTGAACTCTCTTGTCCCTTTCTCTGAAACCCTTTATCAAAGCCTGGCCATTTCTTCTCACCATTCTAGCCAAGAGCCGGTTCACCTCTACATCAAGGCAGCAGCCCCCTCACTGGGCTCCAGGCCCTCCCCCCTCATCTACCCCACACAGCATGCCACATTCATCTTCCTAAAGACCCCTCTTCATCACCTCCCTCCTGATGGGTCATTACTCTCTCTAATGGTTCTCAACTGCCTGCTGCCTCTTCCAGATGCTTTCAAAGCCCTCAGCAGTCAGCCTCGACGTTGGCTCTCCAAATTTCTCTTTCATCATCACTCCCCAGGGAATGCTGTCCTCTCTGATCGAACAGAATTCTGCAGTGTCCTGAGGGCGCTTTGTTGGGTTGGCGAGGCTGGCTTGACTTCCCCATCTTTGGAGGTCAGGGATGGTGGTGGTGAGGATGAGAGAGCCTGGGCCGCCAGGCAATGATCTCGGGGGACAGGATGTGGTACAGTTTTGCTCTCTGATTTATTCTGTGGTTACCTGATTTAGCAAAAGTCAGACTCGGAAGAATCCAGCCAGCAGGGCTTGAGAATCTTGAACATGCTCCGCCTCTCTTTCTTCCTCCCTGAATGTTGGGAAATCTCTGCTAGGGGCCTCAAGGGGGGTGTGCTTTGGATGACTCTTTCTTCCCTTAGCTTAAAGGGAGGGAGGGAATGGCTGGAAAAGGAGGGGCTTCTGGTGTTTATGGACAGAGCCAACTCCAGGGCCACCTGCAAGAGTTCTGTACTCATAGGAACTGGGGGATGTGGGGAGTGAGCAGGGAGACTCACCTCCCTCCCTCTTTCCACTTCTTCCAGCCCGGGGGAGCTCTGGCCATGCCCCTCCCCCTCCTCCCACTGATTCCCACCCGTCACCCTGCCACTCCACCCCTAGAGAGAGCCCAGCCGCAGAGCAAGAGCTGCCACTTTGGAGATCCCAGAGGGAAGACCAATGCTGACGAACCATCGGTGGCTCAGTGGTCATGACAGTGGCGACCAGCGAAGGTTTCATGGGTCCCAATAACGTTCCGCAGGCTGTGTGAGGACTAGAGGACATGATAGCTGTATAAAGTTGGTTGTTAGCACTCACTACCCTACCTTTGTCTTCCCAGTCCCATCTCCTGGAAGGCCCTTGCACAAACCAGGCACTTAACGCTTGCCTGTCGAACAAACGAATGATGGCCCAATATTTGGACGAGGGAACATGGGTGGCCCCTACGAGCCCTCAGCACCATGGTTCCTGCCAGGCAGTGTGGTGTGTTGGTTTAGGGCACAGGAAGACCTGGCTCCTACATCTGGGACAGTGACTCGACTTCCCTGGGCCTTCTTTTCCTCATTTATAAAGTGAGGGGTCATACAAGAGGGCTTCTGAGGTCCCATCCGGCTCCAGAGCCAGGATCCTCGGACCTCAGCCAGGGCCACACCCCTCCCCCCACATCCTTGGTCATGGAGGACCCTGGCATGAGACCGCGGTGCTGGCAGCTCTTCCTTGAAATGACCTATGACCTACTTGGGCTGTGGCCACATAGGTCTGGTCCTCAAGCTATTTGGCTTTCATAATATTATCTCCTAATTTGTTTTCCAGATGTGTTTTGTTTGGGGGTTTTTTCCACACCACCAAATGAGCCAAAAGCAGTTATCTCCTTCCTTTCACATTCTTTCAATTCCTTCCTGCCTGGGTCAGCTTCTGGGCGTGCCCCAGGGTGCCTTTATCTCCATCCCAGTATCTCTCCAGGCATTATTTTGGTCCATTGCCTCACTCTGCCCTGCCTGGCTAGGCTGAATGGGCTTCCTCTCTCCTGGGCACCCAGAAGCCAGCAGGCCAGTATATAACCATGCGCTAAGGGTCATGCCCATGGTGCTGGGTGATCACTCACTGGATCTCCGAAGTGGTATAGGCTGGCCCCCCTCCCCGTGTGATAGACCCCAAATCCAGAGGAACTAGTGTCAGGGTCAATAGTACAGCTCAGTTGTGTTAGTTTCCAGCCCCCATCTCCTTCCATTAAACCACTCTGCCTAGCCCTCCTTCAGCTTTGGAAGGACCTTCTGAAATGGAAAGGATAAACGTGTCGTCCAGGAAGCACCATCTGGGTTCTGGTCCTCTGCTGCTGAGGGACTTGGAGCAAGCCTCTTCATTTCTGTTGTAAAATCAGGAGCCTCCTCACACCGGGACTGCCCCTTCTCTGCATCAGGTTGGTCACCTAGCCAGCCGGTCCTCTGAACAGCAGTCTGACTGCACCATTCGCCTGCTCAAGAGGCTTCTGTGGGTCCCTAGTGCCTCTCCTGGCTGGCCCTACAAGATTTCTACAGTCTAGCTTTAGCCTGTATTTCCAGACCAGTTACAACACACCTCCTCACCCAGTCTATACTCTAGCCAAACTAGCTCCCTGTAGTAATGATAATAATATAATCATAACTAGCATTTCCATAGCTCTTTGAGATTTGCAAAGGCATTTTTAAAATATTAGCACATTTATTTATCCTTTCAATAATCCTGGGAGATAGGTGCCATTTATTATCCCAATTTACTAATGAGGAAACCAAGGCAGGCAGAAATGAAGTGACTTACCCAGGGTCACACAACTAATAAGCATCTGAGGTCAGAGTTGAACTTGGGTCTCCCTGACTATAAGTCCACATGTGCCTCTGTATACAGTATTCCATTTCCTATCTCTACGCCTTAGCACAGTCAATCCCCCATGCTCAGAATGCCTTCCCTCCTCCTTGACACCTCTTAGAGGTGTCCCGTGTGTCCCTCCAGGGGTCAGTTCTAGGGCCCGTCCTAACTCTCCCCATTATAGCGCTCTTTCCCCAAAAAACCTCTTCTGTAATTATTTGTCATCGCTACTGGATCTCCTTATCTCTGCACATGTTGGGTTTCCCCAGTAGAATGGAAGCCTCTGGAGGGCAGGGCCTTTTTCTAGCTGTAGCCTCAGTGCCCCCAAAGAGCTCCTTGGCTGTCGGAGCAGCGGCTTTCACACAGAGCCCGTGTTGTGACTCTCAGGAGGAACGTGTGGGTGAGCAAGCCTCTAAAAATAACCAGGATCGATAATTATAGCCTGGGATCTTTTCTATTTTTTGGATGCTTTTCCCTCCTCCCCCCTTTCTTTCCCCTCTCATTTCCCATCCTCCCCCTCTAGGCCTTAAATCTCCATCTATTGACAAGCCCGCTTCCTGTGATGTTCTAATAACGGGGAGTCACATCGGCTGCCTGCCCTCCCAGCTGAGAGATAGAGGGAGCTTGGGGGGGCCTCAGTGGGCCCCAGCTGGGCCCTTAGGCCTTGGGGCTGGAGGGGCCCTTCTTACCCCCCCCCCATTGATCAGTCGCTCCTATCACATAGGCCCCTGTAGTGACCCTGGGCACCATTTCTAGAACTCCTCACGGCTCCTGCAGGCTTTCTTTCTTAGCCTGGCCTGTGAGATCTCCGGCAGCACTGACTCCAACCCACTGGTCCAGCCATATTGCCCTCTCCAGTTCACGTGTCCACAAGCCTGCCAGACTGGACTCTTCACTGTCCCCCTCATTTTCCCTGTGCTTCTCAAGCTTCCACATCCACCCTCTCTGCCTCTCTCCATCCTCTCTCCATCCCTCAGGGCCCAACTCCTCCCCAAAGTCTTTACAGGTGTCAGAGGTCCTGGGTTCAAATTCTGTTTCATACACTTACTGCATGACCTGGAGGCTTGCCCAAGGTTACTTCATTTCTGCGGGCCTCGGTTTCCACTCAGGGGCCTCTGAGGCTCTTCCCACTCTAGGACTGTTTTCCAGTGAATGATCTTGGGCAAATCCGTTATCAGCTCTGGACCTCAGTTTCCTTATCTGTGAAATGAGCAGGTTGGACTCGCCGGCCTCAGAGGTCCCATCCAGCTCTCCCTACTCAGGCCCCCGCTGACTCCCAAGCCCCTCTCTAGCCCCTCGCCCTATGTGCTCTTGGCACCTTGTAGCCCCTCCCAGACAAGAGGCTTATAGGCAGGGGCAGTGCTCCCTCAGGCCCCTCATCTGTAAAATGGGAGTGATTGTGCATCATCGGGCACAGCTTTGTGATGAGAAGAGCCCCGGGTAGCCTCAAAGGCTCCAAGAGACTCAAGGAGTCCTGGGTATTTGTGTCTCTCTGTGTCCCGCACAGGGCCCGCCATGTTGTTGGTAAATGGTCATTAAATGAACCATCATCCCTTACATAGAGACACCATGGGCTTCCTAAAGGCAACCCCCTCCTCCTGCAGATGAGGAAATTGGGGCCCGGAGAAGGCGAGTGATTTGGCCGATGTCATGCTCCAAGTTCCGATCTCTCTCCACTGCCCCCTGACTGCCTGATTGAAAATGTTTTCACATCTTTTACCTCATTCAATCTTCCCAGGACTCTTGTTAGTTAGGCTGGTTGGCACTGCTGTGCCCACCTCACAGCTGGGGAGACTGAGGCCCAAAGGGGCAGTAAAGAGCTTTCAGCCCGCTGGTGGTGGGTAGATAGAGTGCTGGGCCTGGAGTCAAGGAGACTCACCTTAGACACAAATTCAGTGGGTGACCCTGGGAAAGCCTCCATTTCCTCATCGATAACATCAGTAGCACTTATCCCCCAGGTTGTTGTGAGGATCGCATGGGATAAGTCATATAAAGCGAGTTGTGAACTTTAAAGCACTATAGGAATGTCGGTTGTATTATTATTATTCTTTTATTAAGTTACACAGCAGGTTATTGGCAGAGTTCAGGTTCTTGCTCCCGGCCTCGGGCTTTTTCCATTAGGTCACACTTGTCTCTGTAAAGGAGGGAGGTTGGATTCCTGGGGCCACAGGGCACTGCTGTTCCCTCTTCTTTCCCATCCTGCCCCCTCCCGCCTTCAGTAATCACAAACGGGAAGGTCCCATGACAAGGGGCGGTTGGCCCCCTGGGAACATCCCACCAACCAAGCTGCCTCAGAGGGACAAGCGGGGCAGAGGTCCCCAGACAGCTTTGGCCCTTGTGTGGCCTTTTCCAGGGCCTGAGAACAGCTGCTGGGACATCTGTGCTGTCTCCCCACCCCCATCGCCCCCACCTTGGGTTACTGCCACATTGGCTCACTGATGTCTCCTTATTTTGGGAGCCTTTCCTTGGGACAACTACAGGACCTGGAGCCCCACCCTGAAACTAGTCACTTTTGACTGAAACTCAAATAACAAGTTATAGGCTTTTAGGGCTGGAAGAACAATCCATCCTGGTCCACCATGTTACCAATGAGTGAGCTGGACAGAGAAATAGAGATACTTACCCAAGGCTGCCCCAGTCCTGCAGCTCGGCTGGAATGGCCATCAGATGTCATCGTTTTACAGATCAGGAAATGGAGGCGCAGAGACTTCAAGTAAATTAGGATCATACAGTTAGAGTTGGAAGGGGCCTCAGAGGCCCTTGATTTTGCAGAGAAGCAAACTGAGGCCGGGGAAGAGACCCAGGTTAGAAGGATCAAAGGTGGGACTTGAGCTCTGGGCTGATGTCCTTCCCACTGCCTCCTACGGAGGATTGAGTCATACTTTTGCAGGGCTCTCTCCAACTCTAAGACTCATAGGCCCTAAGATCCAGAGCAGGAAGGTTGGCATCCCCAGAGGCTGGCTCTTCCAATCCCCTTATTTGACAAATGGGAACATGGAGGCCCAGAGGGAAGCAACCTATCCCAAGTTTACAGAGCTAGTGGGTCCAAGGCAGGATCCGAACCCAGGACCTCTTTCCACTGCACCACAGGGCCTTTCAGGAGGCCTACCTCACTCCCTCTCTGTGGATAGAAAAGAGATCTGTCCCTGTGTTAACAGTTAGGAACAGACCTCCCAGTCCCTTCCATTTCTCCTCCCACACAATATGAAGGCAATCCTACCCCTGGCTGCCTCTTGCCTAGAGGCCCATGAGGACAGATGTCTACAAAGCTGAAGCCCCCTGCCCTACTAAGTGCCAAGCTTAGCCTCTTGGCCATTCCTTCTCCAGTAGCCCCAGGCCCCTGCTGAGGGGCTCTTTCTGTCCCCAGCAATCTGGGCCAAGGCACTTCAGCACCAAAAACTGATGGTGTTTTCAGTCCCTGGCCTTTAAGGGCAGGTCCCAAAGTACTTTGCCCAGAGGGACTTACACCATAGCCCCAGGCCTTGGGGAAATTGATGATGCAATAGAGGTGGGGGTGGGGTGAAATGGAGAAGCAATGAGTTGGGCTGAGTGATAAGTAAGGAGGACAAAGGGGAAATCTGAGAAGGGCCTTCCATGATTCTAGGGAAGGAGATGAGACCCAGGCTCTTGAAAAGATACCCACCGGACCCTAGACAATCTATACTAATCCCCGACTGCTTGGCACAGACCATGACGACTGCCCAAATTAAGTGGCTGTAGAGGGAAGAGGTCAAGATATCTAGTCTTCAGGCAAGGCCTGATTTAATCCTGGAAGGATCATTCTCTGAGGCAGTGTGAATCATAAGACTACCTCCTGGGACAGGATCAGGATTTCAGGTCACCTGAGGGGCTGTCAGAGATGCAGGGTGAGCAGGAGTGGACAGCAACATTGTGTCATTCACAAGAGACTGTGCTGTTCAGGGAGATGTCTGACCAGAGTGGTTGTGGGATGAGGAAGGAGCTAGCTAGGGGGCACCTACCTCCCAAGGCTGTTGTGTGGGTTGGGTGAGGCAGTCCACAGAAAACGTGCTGGGACACCGTGTACTAATGCTTGCTGTCAGTATCATGGTCCACTCCTTGTCTTGGTTCCACCCCAGACCAGCCCTCCTTCAGTGCCAGCTCTCCCTACTAGCCCCAAGCCCAAACCACCCAGCTGAACGGGCTTCCCCTGGGGATGCAGACCAGCTGAGGCCACCAAGGTCCTGCTATGTTTCTCTGGCACATCCTCCAAGGTGACCACAGACCTGGCCAGCCACATGTCTGTGCAATAGGCCTGTCAAAGGGGGGAGGGAGACATAAGGACTGTTTATCACACTCTACGTCCAGATAAAGAAGATGCTGTTGGAAGACTTTACTGTACACTAAAGCCCCCGGGATGGGGTATTCCTGGCTTTACATGGGAGCCAGAGCAAAAGCAGCCTGGGGCACCTGGTCCAGATATAGACTTAGTAACCCCAGGCTCATTCCTGAAAGACCAGTCCAGTGCATCCCCAGGGGACGGGATCTGGGCCTGTGCTTTCATTGGCAAGGAACTCTAAGAAAAGGATACTCCCTCCACCTAGGCACGTAGGCACTCTCTGCAATTTACAGCCTCAGAGAGGTGTCTTGAGCCCTGCAAGTTAGGTGACTTGTCCAGAATCACACTGCCTGTACCGTGTCAGCAGCAGGACTTCCTGGCAGGCTGCCTTTTATGGGGTCAGCCATTTAAGGCTGGAAGGGACCCCCGAGGCATCTAGTCAGACCCTCTCCCCACTTCATGGATAAAGAAACTGAAGTCTGCAGAGGTTGTCACATGAGTGACTAGGGCAGGATTTGAACCCAGGTCCTATGACTCCAAATCTTCCATTCTTTTCAGTGTGCTATGCTGCCTGTCTTAATGGAAGTTCTCCTCTAAGTGAGCTTCCTTCCACACCGATGACTACTTTTCTCTCCTTTCCCTCTATCCCTCTCCCCAAATGAACACCCCAGCCCAGAGATGCACATCATTCCTGTCTGGTGGAGGCCAGTCTGACCCTGTGGGTCTTGTGAATGGAATGGATGATGATTCTGTCTCCGTCTCCCTGCGTCTCTCTTCCTAAGATCAGAGGTTTACAGGATTTAGAGCAGAAAGGGACCTCAGAGATTGCCTAATGAAGCCATCTTATCTGACAGAGGGGGAAACTGAGGAATAGTCATTGAGGCTATAAGAATCAGAGCCAGGATTCCATCCTGGGCCCTCTGACTCCTGGTGCACTGCCCACCCAGAGCTTTCCAGGGTTTGCTGTGGTCTTTCCCCTCAGGAGGCCTCCAGAGGGCAGGGGGCTCCTGATCCCTTAAATTTTGTGTGAATTCTATCAGGCTGATGAGGGGCAAGTTTCCCATTTCTCCATCCAGCATGTTTCCCACTGCATTGTGCTTTCTACAATCAGAGCATTTCAGAGCTGCAAGGACCCTTAGAGGCATGAAGTGACTCACCCAAAGTCACCACCTAGTTCCTGGAAAAGACAGGACCAGAAGACCTGAGTAGTGTGACCTTGAGCAAGTTACGCACTTCCCTGGGCCCCACTTTCTTCCCTTTTAAAATGAGGAGATTGTACAAGGGGCCTCTGAGGCCCCTTCCAGCTCCAGAACTAGGAGGCCCGGCTCTTCTGGCTCCCAGGCTAAAACTCTTCACTCCTCCACACTCTCGTCACGGCCTCTCCTGACCTGTCCCCTAGGACAGTCCTTATCCTTTCCAGCTAGAGCTGTATGTGTGATGTAATGGTTCTCTCTGCGCAAGTCCCTGGGAAGTCTAGGAGCTGAATGTCCTTTGTATCTAAGGCATCTACTGTCTTGTGTTCAGCCTTTAGATGACATGAAGTACACTCCCAACTCACTGCCATTGGGATGTCCCTTCGAATTCTTTTCCTTGGTAGTGGGAACAAGTTGTCCTGAAGCATTGAAACTCTCCTCTGATTCCTCTCTCAACCAACCATGCTTTTGCGAGATGGCCCCAGTGCAGCCTGGGGCAGGGTCGTGAGGTGTAATGAGCTAGCTCCTATGGAGTGATGTCCAGCTCTGTGCTTTTATTAATTGTCTGTCCTAGCTGGCCACAGAGAAAAGAGCCACCTCCCTGTTGATGGAGAGTTGAATACTACCCTGGGTAACGGGACTCCTGAGGTTTACTCACCCTTCCAAGGAATGTGAATTTCCAGAATTGATTACTATGTTTATTGTGTTGTGATCTGTAAAAGATATGTTTGGTATTTCTTCTTTTTTCCATGAATTTCTAATTTCTCTTTTTCATAATACATGGTCAGTTTTTTAAAAAGGTTCATGTGGTGTTAAAAAATATGTATATTCTTCAGTAGTCCCATTCAAAAGTTGCATGGACTGCAAACTCCATAAGTCTATGGCTTAATTTGACAACCCAGTCTTAGGCTGCCTTAGGCGAGTCAGAGTGTCCACACCAAGGGAGTAATAGTCTTCCTGTCCTCTGCCACCTGCCTGGTGAGGTTACCCCTGGAGTACTGTGTTCGATTCTGAGCTCTGCATTTTCAGCAAGACTGGAGAACACCCAGAAGAGAGTGACCCAGTTGAGGAAGGGATGATTAAGGATGGATAATTAGGATGAAGAGGATCATTTGAAGGAGCCAGAGATATTTAGCCTGGAGAAGCCTCAGGGGGACATGAAAGTTGTCTGCAAGTATCTGAGGACCTGTCACTGGGGGTGAGATTGAGCTTCTAATGTCTGGCCCCAGAGGACAGAGCCAGGTCCAGAGCAGTTCGTGAGAGGCAGAATTTAGTCTGATGGAAGATAAGCTTGCTCACCCTCAGGAGCCCCAAAAGGGGACTGGGCTTCCACAGGCAAGGGGAGATTCTCCATCTTAGCCGTCTTCAGGCAGAGGCTGGATGGTGACCAATCCTGGATTTCTGTGGCAGGTTGGGCTGGGAGGCTCAAGGTCCCCTCCATCTATACAGGGCACAATTCTAGATCCTGACCACGTGGACTCATTGCTGCATGGACTGAAGGTCTGGGGGTCACGCGCTCAGAGAAGAGGACGTGTCTTTCTCTTCCAACTCAGAATGGGCTCTCTTCTTTTTTGTGTGCTCCTTCCAGATCCAACATGCCGATGCTGTGAGTTTAATTTGTCAGCAGGCATCCCTTGATATACAGAGCAGGTCTCTTCCTGCAGAGTTTCCCACAAAGCAGACTTCTGTGTGTTGAATCCTTTCTTCTATTGTCTTCCATTATAAGATCTGGAGATTGGGCTCCATGAGGGGACCGCCCCCCTTGAGTTTAGCCAATGTTTACTGTACATGGCACTGAGAAGTATCCCCACACAACCAAGCCGGCAGAGTGCTTACTAGTCAAGGAAGGGAGACTGGAACCTTTAGGGTGAGGAAGGAGCTGAGAACGTGAGGAGCCCTCTTGCATGGGAGCATGAATTGTGTCAGTGATGCCACCTCAAATAAGGCTCTCAGTGGTCAAGAGATTCCTTTGTAAAATTCATTTCTCACGCATTTATTTGTTTTTGTTTTTGTTGCTAGGCAATGGGGTCAAGTGACTTGCCCAGGGTCACACATCTAGTAAATGTCAAGTATCTGAGGCCGAATTTGAACTCAAATCCTCCCCTCTTGAGCATGTATTAAGCGCCTACTGTATGCCAGGCACCGGGGATACAAGGACAGAAATGAAAACTGCTTTTGCCCTCAAGGAGTTTATATTCTGCTGGGGGGAGGTGGCGGGGAGAGGAGAAACATGAACACAAAGAAGTCAGTCTGAAATACGTGCAAAATAAATATGACTTAATAGGATGGATGGTATGACGTGGGAATCCCGAAAGCTAACACAACCTTAGGCTGGCTTAAGAAGGTTCAGTGTCCAGGTCTAGGAAGGCGATGGTCACACCACATCTGGTGTGTCTTGTCTGCTTCTGGTCATGCTACAGTCACAGAGTCCTGGGTTCAGGTCCTGCCTCCGGCTGTGTGGCCCTGGGCAAGTCCCTTAACCTTTAGTCAGGCCCCAGGCATGTCTTTAAGATTATATATTCAAAGATGCAAAGAAAGGCCAAAACAAACAAACCAACAGACCCACAGTCCCTGCCCTCAGGGGGCTCACATTCTAACAGGAGAGATAACATGCTAACAGTCTAGGATGTATAGAGTGTAAATAGAAGTTGTGTCAGCCTGTGGTAGAGACCTCTTGCAGAGGATGGCATTTGAGGAGTTGCCTTCTGTACCAATGAAATCTTAAATCCAGCCTCTTCCCCCCCAAAAAAAGAAGATTGCAAGGTAATTGGGTGGGAGGGTACTTCAGCTTAGGGGATCAGCTCTTGGGCATGCCAGCTGCATCTCAAAAGAAGCTGGGGGTTCTACAGAGCAGAGGTGAGGAGGGAGGGCACTCCAGGCAGAGGACAGCCAGTGCACAGGCGTGGAGGCTGGAGATGATGTCACGGACAGGTGACAGCAAGCAGGGCCGCTTGTCCTCACCAGGCGGTTTG